CACACGTCATGGTAAAAGGGTTGATCGTGAAGAAGACAGAGAACAATGTTGAGGAAATAGATGACAAAGAGGACGGGAATAGAATGATTAAAAAATCTAGCGTATAAGGGGGGATAGAGAGTAAACCGATGTAAAAGTGCATAGAATGCTTGGAGGGATTGAAAAGTGTCAACCCAGATGGGTGGATTGACAGTGGAGAAAGGAACAGGGTAGCAGATCATGCAGTAAGGAACAGAGATGTGAATTGTCGCTAGAAAAAGTGTACATGGCTGGGGTAGCTGTCAACATCGCAAAAAGGTAAATAATGTATAGGAACTGAAGGGATAAGGGGGCGGACGGATGAAAGATTAAGGGTCGTTATAACATAATGGTGACACATTAAAAGAGTTCACCACTGACGAAAAAGGAAGTCCGAAGGACAGACCGTGCTTGTAAATACTTGAGTATCTAGCTAAATGCGGGTAAGTGCTGAATAAGTCAGGAACGCAGCTTGCTCGAAACATCTTGACAGAACTGACGAACAAATTCGAAAGGGTGTAGAAGCTAGTCATAAAACGTGTCTACAGGATGCTCGCTCATGAATCATATAGGGAATATAGAATTCCAAGTGGTATGACTAATAGATGGAGAATTAGGGAGAGAGTTAGCAGGATGAAAATTTGAAATATAAGGAAAGGGTGAAGAGATAAGTATGGACACTGAGACGCAACTTTAAATGAGAAATGAGACATAATGAAGAATGTGCTGGGGTAAAAAGGTGAGGGGTAGGAATAAAGTGTAGCAGGCTGCTGGGCGGGCGTGACTTAAAAAGAAAAATAAGCGTTAAGCTCATGGGGAAAAGGGGGGAGTCTAGAGCGGTGGACGGAGCCTAGTAGGGGTACGGCGAGAAAAACTGTTAGTGGAGGGGGGGGGGGGAAAACTAAAGGATTAATACACATTCAAACAATAGCGGTAATACAAGAGGATTTTTTAAGTGTTTTACATAACAAATAAGTTCATAATATTTAAAAGTAAAATTAATTATGTATGTAATAAAAAAATGTTTTTAGTCAGTTTTCGGAATGTAACCTCCTTTTTGTATCGGCTCTGTATTTTTTTATAGATAGGGGCGACAAAGACCACCATTTTCGATACAAACAAAAGCTGTGTGAGCAAAAGCAGCAATTCGGTTTGATGTGGGGGATCCGGTAATACAACAACAAACAATATATAAGAGCTAATCAGACATAAGAAACTGAGCATGTGTGTGGGTAAGTGATTATACCATAATAATGTGAAGAAGATGATCTTCTGGAAGAGAAGGAGAGTGTGTGGGCAATATGTAATAGGGGCGAATAATCGTTTGGACCCTATCACGTAAGTAGCATATGGACAGTAGTTCAAAAGCCAGATCAGATCATGCATAAATAGGTGTGGTGTGCGAATAGTGGCGTAAATGATCAACTTCGACAGGGGGTTTACAGAGGGTGGCGATCTAAAGTGGATGTAACTGTTTTCTAGGAAGATAATCGAGGGTAAACATAGGGGTAGCTATGATGACACGAATCACATTACTTCTCATGAAATCGTGTACTAGTCTATGAATTGATTGTAGCTGTCAAATCTGGTGGCTTATCCCTATATTAAGATAACGGAGCGCTGAGTAAAGCTATGATATCATTTTCTCTGCCATGCAAACTATGGAAACTAGCGAGCCTCACACACAATCTTCATGAACAAGTCTTTCTACATAAACGGCTTGAAAGGCAAATTGAGGAGTGGTGGTCCGAAAGTGTTGTGACATCACGGTAGGAGGGGAGGCCATATAGCGAAACTTCATCATCCCTAAGACGTCAGAATTTGTCTACCTTCAAAATTCTGTGCTTGAGATCGCATTATTATGTATACATCGAAGGAATGACCATTTTAGGAAGAGATATATACAGGGAACGTTGCACAGAATTACTTCTATTATTTACTATCATTAGAACCTTTGAATGGAAAATAATTATTGTAGCCTGAAATCAAAGCAAGAAACATTGTAAGAAAGACAATGGGAAAAGCTTGTAAATCTGTGAAGTTGTGCAGAGTGTGGCAGTAAACGGCAGGTGCAAAGGTATAAGGTCTGTTAATCTATATCTGGTAGTAAACTAAATTTTGAAATTTTGAATAAATCACTGGAAGAGCATGTTAATTTTTCAAAAATTAAAATAAATTAAAAAGAAAAAAAAAAAAAAAGGAAGAGAAAAAGGGGGGAGGGGATATCTGTCCCCCGGTTTAAAATATGTTTGATTGCTTAGCTTGGAACTGGTGTGTGAATGCGGGGCACCAGCGGGAAATTAAACTGTAGGCCGTAAAGAAAAGACTAAATTGTGAGCAACATAAATGTTGGATATAAAGTTAAGGTAGGGCTGTGGGGGTGAGTAGAGCAATGGGGCAGGGACTAGGAGTAAAAAACGTGACATTTAACTGGGAATAGGGGGAGTGAGGTCGGCGAGAGTACATGCATGATGTGGAACATGTTTGTGTACTTGGAGAGAGAGCAAGGGGTGAAATTATAACTAGCTTGCTATGTAATTAATAAATGGCAAGCTGATGATCTCAATGGAAGGTCACGAAGAAATAGAGGAAGGGGAGAGGGGAGGTAAAAGAGAGAAAATCGGGAGAAGAGGGGTGGAATAATGGATAAAGATTGCTATTAATCTCAGAATAGGTAGTGCAAGCTATAAAGCTAGAGAAACAAAATCTGTGTCTGTGGTCGTATTGATGAAACGGAAGGTTGTATCACAGACTACGAATATTGGCAGTGAAAGAAAAAGCAGTCGGGGTAGATAGATATGGGGAGTAGATAGTTATATCAACTGATATATGGTTCGTAAGCTGGAGAAAGAGAAGTCGCTATTATTCATCACAAATTGCATGGTGAGAAGAAAGAAGCAGATTCTCATGCAGCTGATAACTGGATAAAAGATTACCTGACCTGCTTAATGAATACAAGCCAAACGAGATTTATTATACAGATGAAACAGGTCTGCATTACAGAGTATTGCTGGAACACATATTAATATCTAAAAGTGAAACAGCAGTTGGTTTAAGAAATTGGATGAATAAATTATTGTGTTATTAATATGTAATGCGAGTCCACCAATAAAGAAGACAACACTGGTTACTGGCAAAGGCAGAAAACCTCTATGTTTGAAAAGAGTAAAAAATTTGCTTCTAAATAAACATTACAAAAAGAACTCATGGATGACAAATAGTATTTTTAGTGATTTTCTTTTTTGAACTGAAAAATTTTACTAATTCCATAAATGTGAGACGATCACACCCATGATCTTTTTCTGAAAAACATTAATACAGTGTTCTGAATTTAATGTATAACATTCAATCTTTAGAACCAGAATATTATAAAAGTTTTCAAATGTCATTACAGAAAAGATGTTCAGAAAATGATGAAAAGAATTTAATTTTGTGAAAATGCACTTTGAAGGAGATAAGTGAGTAATTATCTCTACAAGCTATGCATATTATAGTCAGTGCAGGGGGATTAATTTCTTAAAATCTGTTAAAAACTGTTTTTTGAAAATGTGGTGTTTAGATAAAAAGAGCTTAACAGAAATTGTAAATAATAGCTAATGCTTCAGATATCAGTGAAAGAAGTTATGAGGATTAATTTTTAGTGTCAAATCACAATAATATTGAGACAATATGTATAAAAACTGACCAAGAAAGTATGACAGAAAAAGTGACACGCACAAATAAAAAAAAAAAAAAAAGTGATGGCATACCATTACTAAATAAATCTAGAACGGCACTGCAAATTTTAAGAAAAATTGTTGAACTTAAGCCGATTAAAAAGCTGTGAGTAGTTTTATGAAATTGAGAATGCAATTGAAAAATTGTTGAATAATATAGAACTGGTAGAACAGCTGTTTGTAAGAGATAAAAATTCCTCAGGAATGTCATTCTAAAAATATTTTTTCAAAATTGCATGAATAGTTTAATTTTAATATTAATTTTCAATTAATAATTTTAACTAACTGTTATAATTTTACTTGAAAAGTTTAAAAACTGATATTACGCTTTGCAACACACATATTGCCATTTATTAAATTCTTTTGGTTAATAAACTCAAATACATTTGGAATGAAAATGATTTTAATAAGCTTTAAGCACTGTATATGCAACAATAAGTTACGTTAATTGTTGCAAACTTGTTGGGAGCTTCTTGAAAAGTAAGTACCATATTTGGTTGTTTACCCAAAATCTAATCAACTGTTTATATGAATGCAGAAAGCTTAAATTTGGAGCAAATTAAAACTCCTTAAATTAAAAGCATGTTATGGAGACCTAATTTGCTTTTATTTATGCAAAATACACAATTGAATTTTTGGACTGAAAACATTATTTTTGTTACCTATGTACACCGATGAAGGTCAATGCCTTCGCTCACCTTTTCTTAAAATGCCCAAATGCCTCAAATTCCATTTCAGATTTACAACAATTTCTTTCTCCCTGTTCATCAATGAATAAAGAAATGTGAAAAATTCAAATGATATCGTTTCTAATTCCTAACAAGGAAGTTGACATTAGCCACTGAGTGAATACTCAGCTTTTACTGAAAGATAAGAAACCACAAGATAATCCTTTTAGGACAAAACAATCTGCAATAAAGATGAAGTGAATTACAGTGCATTTGGGGAAACTACACCTTAGGCTATTGTGTACGTTAGGGAGAGGGTAGAAACAGAGCATGCAATCTCAGGCGTTTGGGCAGCTGTTTGTCATTTGATTGGCCATTTTGGGTGCTTTGGTCGTGAAGGAGATATATAGGTTAGAAACAGGTAAAAATGGCTTCTTATGAAAGTCATGTTTATGAGATGTTTTTGAAAGTCAGTATGAAAATATTTTATATAACAAACAATATAGTGAGGAAGAAATAATTAAAACAAAATTTATTGAAAATTCTTAGTTACTAAAGCTGCATTATTAATATATTTTTGGAAAAATTTTTCTTTCAGGATTGGAGGTTCTTTGCAAAATTTAATAAGAGTTCTCATTGGTAATGATGCCCAGAAACAACTGGAAGCAGTGGCTTGTCTCACTAATTTGGCCTGTGGAAGTCATAGGTTTACGCATAAAATAGCTAGAAACGCTGGAGCTTATTTAGTATCTTTTATTGATGGAGGAAGCTCTTTTTTGCAGGTAAAGATATATTTTAAAAAATTCATTAGCAGTATGTTTGAAGCATATTTATGCATATAATAAAAGTAGAAGACCGAAAATCCATTAATACCAGAAATTTGCATAATTTTTCAAATGATAATGGTGAAATGTAGTTGACTTTAGTGATTTTTGCCAAAATTTGAATACTACTGATGATAGGTGTCTTTATTCAGTATGTAAGTAGGTATTATATTCTACTGATAATTGTTTTATAACTATAGCCAAGTAAGTGTTTTGCCAGAAGTTAGTTACTTGTTTTGTCAATTTGTTAAGTTAACATTGTCCTGTTCTGAAGAAGTTCAGATAGTAAAGAAAGTTTAAATTTGAAAAATCACTCACAAATTACCCCTGACTATTAATTTCCAAGGTCAGCAGGCCTCTGGTCCATGCTTTAAAAATCATTGATCATTCTTAAAGTGTCATAATTTTGTGTTTTGATATTTAACCATACTGCATTTTTAAAATACTCTGTATTAAAAATTTATTTGAAAAAAATATTATTAATTTTGTATACATTTGTTGCATGCAGATGTTGGTTGAAAGTTTCTTTTGGAGGAAAAAATATATATATATAATACTTTTCTTTAAAGAGTCAGAGTGCATGGGCTGCTGGAAATATAGCTGCTGACTGCTGTGAATGTTTTGTTGTACTTAAAATGCAAGGTCTTCTGCCAGTATTGTTAAAAACAATTGATGTGAGTAAATAATCTTCTTTCATACATTTTTAAAACTATTTTTTTACTATGAATAAAAAATTTTGTATTTCTTATTATCTGCCTCCCCCCCCCAACTGAAAAGTTGCAAACTCCTTGCTGACTTTGGATAAAATGTTTGAGTATTTGAACAATGCATCCTGTGCCACCTAATTTTTGTACATTCTTTTCCCCTTACAAAACATGCACACTTGCCATAAAAGTCCTAAATGAGAAGGAAAAATTAGGTGCATGATGCCTTTAAGTAAGCAACATTATGCTGTATGCGTACAGAAAGCTAAGTCTGAGATTTTACTGAAGACATCGAAAACTGGCAGTCCACGGCTATTCCATTAAAGGGATCATAATCTGCAGTCACACTGGCAGAAATGACCAGAGAAGTGAAAGCATTCAGGGACTATGACACACGCATACTTCAATTGCCACATAAATACTTTTTGCAACATGGCATATTGCCTCATCATTACTTTTCAGTTGGGGTGTGGCTAATCAGAAAGTACCAAAAGTTTTAATAAAGAACAATTCATTGAATTAGTTATTAATCAAATAATTTATATTTTTGCTTACACATGAATACATGTAGTCATCCTTGTGTTAAGAGTCTTGCCTGGTTAAAAATGAATCGTAGTTTTAGTTTTTGCATAATTTCATAAGTATTTTTTAATAATCAGCTTATTCTTAGATATATTAGTATTCAAATTTTGCTAAGTATGCAAGCATAGAAATATAGTAAAAGTCAATCTATGATAAGGAAGACTTTTACTAAAGCATTAAAATGTTAACTAATTACAATCAGTTTAGAAGAGTATGGAATAACTTCTATATCTCTAAAGATACTGCTAGGAAGTTTTTAACATGTAATAGGAGCATTTTAAGATTATGCTCCCTAACAATTCAAAGAACTAGAAGGGTAAAAGCACTTGAAAATTTAGAATAAAAATGAAATAAATGAAGCGGTAGAAAATGTATATGAAACTCATGCTGTGTAGATGCAGGTTTTACATCAAATTCAGGTTAAAGTCAACAAAGAATATCATTCTTGCTTGTACATATTAATGATTAGAAGTCAAAATTTAGAAATTCCAGTATCTTTTCTTGTAGAAGTAATTTCTAAAAAAAATTACCATAACTCCAAAAAGTTGCCACATTTAGCAATAGCTGGACTAATATCAGCAAGGCAGCAAAATTTTGAAGTCCATATTTCCAATTCTCCCATGTGTTGTAAAAGTTAATGAATCTGATTTTTTACAGAAAAATATAATTATAATATTGTTTTTAATCTTATTGTATTAATTTTTTAATCATAAAATATAACTAAATTTGATTTAATCACTAATAAAATCACTAAATCTGATTTATTATCCTAGAATGCTTTTGCATTCCCAATGAAAATTCTGTTGTTATTGTCATTTTCTGCAAAACTCAAGTACAGAATATATGTAAATTCTTTTGCACTTTCTTATTAGAGAATTTAAATGTGAAAATACACAAGAGTAAAAATGATTTAAAATGAATAGCATATGTTCAAATGTTGTAGTGTTTTCCAAAAATTTATCTCGTACATCCAAGGTATAAATTATAAATATGCTACACTGGATATGTATAAAATCAGTGTAAATCAAACATGTAAATGAGTTAAATTTTCTTTTAATCCAATATGTATTTCTTTTATGTGCTACTCATTTATTTATTTATGTTTTGAAAGTGTTCCACAGAGCATGTTTTCCAGTCTGCTGTTTTTGCCTTGAAAGTTTGCACAAAATATGGAGATCATGAAATAATGTAAAGTACTTTTTTCTGAATTCTGTTATTGATTTGCTTTATAAATTTACTAAATATGAAAAATCATAATTTGAGTATTATTAAGCTGCTAAACATGAGTGCATTCTTCTATTTTAGCAATGTAGCCAGTTCTGATCTACCTAAAAAGCTATTGTCATTCCTCTTGCAAGGTGATATTACACGGAGCATAAAGATGGATCTGGCTTTCACATTGGTAAACCTTTTATTTTTGTAAGTAAAAAGAATTAAATTGCATTATTTTTATAAAATTTCTCATACAGTATTAAATATATACCATTAAAGATTTTTAGTATTTTATACATAATTATATGAACACCTTCCTACTTTTAATAATTTGTTCACAAATAAATATTTTTATAATAAGTTATATAGAATAACCATTTTTATTAAATAGAAATATATTATTATGGAAATAAAGACATTCTTTTAATTTTAGAGCAGTTATACACAATCTGGAAATCATTAATATTAATGTAGCAGAAACTATCCTCAAGTGCCTGTACAATTCAGTCCATGAAGAAGTTGATCTTCCAGTAAGTTAAAAAGAAATTTTAAATTTCTGATTTTTGTTTATAAATAGTCTGTCATAATTATTTGTTTACTTTTACTTAGGTTGCAACTCCTTTGCTTCGATGTTTGGGATATTTAACTAGCAGTGAACAAATATGTAAATATCTATGTCAGCATCTAGAATTTCATGTTGTTACTACTTCAGTATTAAAAAGTGAATGTTCACACTTAAAAAAAGAATTATTCTGGATACTTACTAATTTATTAGGTATGAAATTAATTTCTTGTTAAGGTTTCAGGTTTCTTTCATTGAAGGTCCTTGCAAAGTAATTTATTAATATTCTTTTGCACTTACAGATGTTCAAGATTTAACAGATGATAGAGCTCTTCTACCAGTTCTTGAGTCGGTGACAGTTTTTCTGAATCCTCTGAATTCAGCTGCATTACCAGTAAGAAATTACAAATTATATATATAATTTCATGTAAAAATGTAATAAAATTAAAAATGTCTTGCTGTTAATTAACTAAAAGGAGAGAATAGATTGTATGCATTAATTTTATATCCTAAAATAACTTTTATATACACTTTGGTCAACGTATAGAAAGCAGTATTACCTCAGCAAATTATGTTATATGCAGAGTAACTGATATGGATCATAAATAGAGTGGGTCAGTATGCATTGGAAATCATTATAGCAGAATAAACATGGTTAAGGCATAGATGTTATTCAGTTTCATTGAGATCATATTCACTGAAGGTAGAAAATTTGGATGTTCAGTTATTGCACAGGTGAAACATTGTGGAATTTTACGACAAACTGCCATAAGAAGTATCTGAAATCTGGGCCAGAAATATATGAAACATTGCCTAACATATTAATGTGATGTTAAACTGACTAAGGATGAAGTACTATGCTTTAATAAAAGTGTTTGTAGTTGAAATGGAGTTATAAAATTTCAGGGGAATAAAGGCAGCAGGATTATGTTCTGTCAGAAAAACTGATGGAATTCAAAAGCAACAATATTCATAGTCAGTGAAGAAACTAAATTCCTTAAAAGGTAAGATAGAAAAAAACTAAAGGCTTCAGATTTGTTATTAGAAGATGAATATGGTGATCAGAATTTATAAAAACTAAAAGTAGGCTACACAAGTTTTATGGATTTTTTTGCATTTTCCACAAAACACATTTGTTCAATATTTAAGTACTTATTAAGCACTATCCTAAAAAAACTGCCATAAAATAAATGTGAAATTTTATAGCATTCCTTATATAAATAAATATATAGTGAACCTATTTATCGTCAACTAATGGAAGTAACTGATGCCAGTTACGTTAAATTGAGAGTAATATATTTAACAACAGAGAGAACGATACCGCTGTAATCTTTCTCATGCAAAACGATACGATTCTGTACGATGCAAAAAATACGATTCATAGTCATACATTTTTCAGTCTGATGCAATATGGAAACCACGTAAAAAAATGTCGATAGAAAAATTAACGAATTCTCTCTCATTGTTGAAACAACGGCATGCAGTTTTTAATGATTTTCATTTTTCTAATCAAATGGTCATAATAGCTCAAGTTCCATCCAATATTTCACCTATATTCAATTTTAGTCGATTAACTGTGGCAAAAAATTGATCATAAATCAATAACGCAAACAAACACACAAACAGACATTCTAAATAAAGCATTTTTATCGCCAATGTGCGAGAATGTTGCCAGTCAGAAAAAGTGAATATGAAAATTAGGACTCAAGGATTTGAAAGTGAGCACTGGCAACAACTTTCGAAATAAAGCAGATTTTCATCTCCACTTTGCAAGACTGTTGCCACTGGGAAAAGCGAGGGTGAAAATTATCATTTTTCCAAGTTTTTAATTATCTCTGATTTTGTTGAGCTTTTCTAGGACCCAGAAAAGAATCGAAAGTTTGGCAATGATAGCTATAGCACTGACTGAGTTACTAGAGGACAAACACACAGACTCTTTATATAGATAAATAAGTATTGCATTACTGAATCTATTTTAATATATACAGTTTTTTGGAAATTTTCAGATTATTCTGCACTAAAATTTCACTGCTGTACATATTGTGGAAAAAATATGTTCGCTGGTATTTCTGAATACTTTATTATATATTTAAAAGAATTTTAAGAGTTTATACACAAAAAGAAAAATTTTAGATGTACTTTTGTGTAATTATCTAAACGTTATAATTTCAAAACTCTTTTTCAATTTATTCCTCAAACTATAGTTTTACAAATTCTGAATGAACTTTTATAATACTTGTAACTAATTAATACTTATTTTAATCAACAACAAAAATCAGTGTTATATTTGCAAATTTTCCAGCACTAGTTTCAATGGTGTAACTGCCAAAGGGCAAATGAATGAGATAAAATAGACAAGAATGGCTGGACAGGAGTTAAACTACTGGTGCCATCTATTGATGAAATAAGAAAACTAAAACACAATTTCCTTAAAGGCTGAAGGTAAAGATGGATTGGAATTAGGGTCATTAACTAGAACAAAGGTTTTTTTTAAATGTGAAATGCCTTTTTGTTGTTTGACTTTTAAAACAGTTGTTGTTCGGCATCTTATTTTAACCTAATTAATACTTGCCAGTTGGAAACTGATCTTTTTCCAGTGAGAAAGCATTCCTTGGTGTTAAGAATTCTACACTTTTTTCATTGTCAAAACTGTCAATATATGGAAGAGAGTCAGCCAGACATTTTTCCAAAATGAAAATTGTTCAAAAACTCATTGGTGTTGTAATATTTTATGTCCCATTTAAATAATGAAAAAAGTGCATTATGTTATCAGATGTATTCTGTTCTCTCTAATCACTACATTTTTTTTTTCATTTATGCATTTTAAAGAAACTGACACACAAATTTTTAAAAAATTAAAATTTTTTAGTGTATTCTGTGGCAAAAGTTAACAAATTTTCTCCCTTTCATCCAAAAATTCATATTCATAAACTACCTTTAAATTTTTTTATTGATATAAAGTATCTACTGAATGAAGAAATAATTTTGAGTGACTGCAAATCTTATAAACAATGGCACCTCATCAGTTTCATCCAACGATATCATATTAAGTGAAGCTTTCACAAAGTTAAGTTTATTTGAGGTGACTTGTATTATTAATTTGCATCTGAATTGAGATAGTTTTTAACAATTTAAATTTTCAGTAGAATTTTTGCTAGTTCATACTATTCTGCATATGAATTTTTTTTTCAGTTAAAAAATAACATCTTAAATGAATTTTTGACATAAAGACATATCTTATTTGAAAATATTATGATTCTGATAGTTCTCTGAAATAATTACTTGTACTACATACCTAATTATACTACTTATGTCCTTATAATCCTGTTATCTCATTACATTTTCTTTTTTCAGGTATTATACTACTTATTCTGTTTAGTGCTTAAAAATGAAAGAATCTGTTCGTTGTTTCAGCAGAACAAGATAATTTTACAAATTGAGTATCTTTCTAATTGTGGAAATAAAGAACTAGAATTTGCTTCTAAACTATTTCTGGATACAACTGAAATAAAACAAATAATTTAATAACATGATAAATAATATATTAGCAGAAACTTTAAATAGCTATATAATACTGCACTTTTGCTAGCTTTATTCAGTCATGGAGTGTCACCTAAATATCTGCAGCATACATCGGCAATATGTAAATGCAGCATTTGGGATACTCAATTACTGAGAACTTTATGACCAAATTTATAACATGAGAAATCACTATTTAGAATGATGTAGATTGCATGAGATGAGGTGAGAATGTTATTTCATGTTTGTCAGGAATAAAGAGGTATAATTTTATTGATAATGTGCATATGTAAGATTTAAGCAACTTTAATAAAAGTTAGATAAATTGTACAGTTTGAGTTCAAAGAACAGTGCCATGTGAAGCCTAAAACAGTAATGCTCACTGGTATTCACAATATGCCACAGTACTGCAATGGCTGCACAGCAGTTGTTGATTTATGGCTGGCTGTTTCTGGGCTTTTCAATGTTTTAGCGGAGGCTTGCTTGAGATGACATCTATGGAGCGAATTAGAAATGACTCACATGTGCCTTGGAAGATAGGACTTCAAATCCATTTCGTGGAAGTGAAATATTTTACTTCATCACAAAAGAACTCTTCGGTGGTGAATTCAAGCAATTCAAGTGGTGAATTCAAGCAATTCAACTCTTTCAAATTTGCAAACATTGACTGGCCCTATGGGTGCCATACAACCTTCACCAGCATCTTAATGAGGAAGTATGACTTTTTGTTGTCAGGAGCCCATTGTGATGGGTGTGATTAGTTGGGGCCCGTTGAACAATTGTGGAGTAAGATGCCATGGTAGCATAAGTGATGTAGTTTGTCCTTTTTCCCCCCAGGTGGGCAGGTGGAGTAAATGTGTGTTCCTATCACATAGGGGTCACCACTGGGGTGACAACATATAGAACTAAAACATATTTATTATAAATTTATGTGAAGCTTTATTAACAATGCAGAACAACAACGGTATAAGTATTGGCCTTATTATGTGAAGATCTTGCTAGCAGCAAGAGTATTTATTTGAGAGTTTAAAAGTATTCCAAGTTCTTGCCATGTCTAAAACAGTTTGCACACAGAATTAGTCATGCCCTTTTAATTTTTGGTTGTATTTTACATCCTCTGATTCATTATAGTTAAAACGATATCAGAGGAGCAACAGGAGTTTAGTAAAATCTTTCAACATTAAATGCGAAGTTGTGATTCTTGTAATGTCAAATTAGTGCTTTTACGTCAGAGCATGTCGTTTCACACCTTGTAATAACTCAGAAATTGTGATTTGTGAGGTCACATACATGAATTTTTTATCTTCATGTGGTCCGCTGGAGTTCCAATGAAATGGGGAAGAAGAATGTTGGAACTGATAAAAGCTGAGATATTGGTCATCCATACATAATCATTGAATGTATGTATCAGATTGTGGCTCTTTGTGAACGCAAAAGGTGGCTGTCAGTGGTGCCCAAGTACAAGAGTATATGTGTTACAGTGAAAGACCGAAATTGGAGAATGTCGACTTTCACCGGAGAATATCAACATTTAGCAAATATGTCCGTGAAAGACCGAATATTCTGTGATTGTCGACATATCACAGAGCATATCTGTGATTGTCGACATACACCGGTGAGAGTCCGAATATACAAGACTATATTCTTGTATATTCGGACTCTCACCGGTGTATGTCGACAATCACAGATATGCTCTGGTGAAAGTCGAAAAGAGAGGTCATAAAGTGCCATAATAGTTTAAGTTGTTGCAATAAATAAGATTTGAATCACATAATTTAGTAAGTTTTTTATTATGTTATTTTCCTTTCTCATTTTGAATGTATTGTGTGGTTTTAGGTTCTCATGTTCTTAAGTTCTTGTTTCAAGTGTGTTTACTCGTGACTGAATTATGGAGAAGAAAATATAATATTGTTATGTGTTCAACATTCACCATTAGTACATGGTGAATGTCAACATTGACCGGTGTAAGTCAGAAATAAGAGTATTTGGAAAATATTTCGGACATACACCAAGAGACTATGTGAATGTTGACATTCACCGGTGAAAGTCGACATTCTCCAGATTTCGGTGTTTCACCGTAACATATGCATACGAAATCCATCATACTCTTTATATGTGACTCCACATTCCAAAACACACATCATTTTCGTGTATTAACCTAGTATCATCTATATTTATGACCTACAGTTGGCCCATGAACAACACCATGATTGGAGTATCCAGTAATGGAGGAGAGTTGCCCAGTCTGATGAATTATGATTTCTTTTACATTGTCAGAACAATCTAACATCTTATGAGAACTTCAGACTTTCTTTTTGTTCTTAGTTCTATTGTTTGTAAGCTCTGTTTATAAGATTTTAGTTCTTTGTAACTTTTTGCCTAGCCACTGGAAATTTCAAAAGCAACAACCACTGTTGGAACATAACAGCCGATCAACGTATGTACCATAAGAGATTAGTGATGGAGGTATTATACTTTAGGAAGACATTCTCATGAGTGTCCCTGGGACTGGTGGTTATAGATAATACACCAAATGGCATCTGCAGATTATGACAATATCATTGTTGACAATTATATATTTTAATGGCTTCCATCTCTCTTATCAGAAACACATTCCTCCAGCAGGAAAATAATGCTTGTTCCAAGGCAGAATTTTTTACTATGGTGGTTTTAAAATATTTTAGTAAATTCTTGTTAATATGTCCTTGCTTATAAGTCTGTTTTAAGTATTTTAAGGCCATTTACCTGTTCTCACCTTGTAACCATGGTAACAACAGTTGTGGAAGATAGTCATCTCAACCATAGTAACAACTGCTGTGGAAGATAGTCTCAAATTCACTATAATCCCATCTGTAATGATGGAAACTTTACAACTGTAAGATCAAGAGACTTTACTGCATGGGACGCAGATTCAAAAGACCTCTGTTTCAGTTTCCATTACATGTCTGGCCGGAGACATCAGCTGGTTGCAAACGTGCTGGGGAAGTTTTCGATTGACAACCTTGCTTTGAGAACACGAGGAAGGCCCCAGGACAAGCAAACTAACACATGGTTTGTAAGAGGGTAACACATTTCTATCACAAAAGAACTTTATGATGAGTTTGCGTGATAAGTCCTGACCAGCAGCGGTAGCCATTTCTCAACCACCAGCCAGTATCTCATCTCTGCCCACAGACCTAACACTGCGAAGAAGCAGCAGGCTGCATGCTGTTCGTAAACGTGAGAAAACGAACGCACCTCTAATCTGAAGAACTCTGTGAAGAAGAAAGATTTATCATGATCTTAAAGTGCCTATTATTTGCAGAATGCTCCTTAGCAACCCAGATGTGCATATGCACATCTGGGTTGCTAAGGAGCATCAGCTCTGAGATCAGCAGCCACTTCTTCGTATGTGTGATCTCTACTTGCAAATGTGATACAATGTTCCTTTGGACACTTACTAAAGATTTGTAGAAGCTATGCCATAACAAGTTGGTGATGTCCTATATGCCAAAGGTTGAGCAACACAATATCAGAAAGGTGTACAGTTTCTGACTGTTAAGTAAACACTTTCCTGTTTAAGTCAAAATAAAAAGTTACAATTTAACTTTGGAAGTAAATTTGCATAAATAAACTTGATTTAAACAGATCTCTGTATTGGAAAATAGGAATGAGTTTGCTTTCTTTGAATACATATACTACTATGGATTTCGTAAGAAAATTTTATATTTAGTATTCAAATATCGCATTTGCTTTTCGAATTGATGGAATTCATTAACTGACAAAAATTTCAGTTTCTTGAAGATTAAATATATATATATATTATATATATATATATACATATATATTTAAAAAAAAAAGTATTTTCAGATTTTAGAGCAAATTTATGTGAGAGTTAACAACTTATTTAGGAAATCTTTTCCAGATGCAGTGAATATTGTATAATTTTGTACAATATGTTAGTAACATACTGATGTGAATGTGAAATTATATCATATTTAAAAAAACTGTAAATCCAAATTAACTGCCTGTGACAAAAAATCAATTAATGCAGACCTATTTTCACTATTTCTAATTTTCTAATGTTGTAATTATAACTCTACTATAACATTTGGAACTTATTTGAAACTTTTTAACTTTCTGTACTTATTTCAAAAGCAAACAACTGACTTTCTTCAAAACATTATAAACATAGTTCAAGGAGTACTGAATTTTAACTTTTTTCTTACGCTTTGGTTTACAAACAATTTATATTGATGTATCATTTGCATTTTGTACTTATTATTGTATTTAAGTTCTATCTTCACTATTTATACATATATATGCTTAATACACATAGTATCTCTAATTATCTGTGATACATTAAAATATTTGTATAAACTGAATTTGTATAAAAAATTGATGTTAAACACACTTAAATAAAATAAAAAAAAAAAAAAAAATGAAATTAAAAATAAAAAGACAAAGGTATTTTTAATTTATTTTAATTATAACTGTTTTTTTAAATAATCTCTCATTTGCTTACAAACAAAACATCAATGAAGTCCTTTCAAAGAAGACTACACATAGCACATCTGTACATCGTACTAATTTTACATATTTTCATTTTCTAACACTTGTTTTATGATTAAAAAAAATATACAATATGCTATATGCACTATTATTAAAAAAATTTTCACAAATATGTTTCTTCAAAATTTTTGACTTGAGACTAAACACTGGCCTAAAATTTTACAACACAGGATTTTTAAAAAACTTTCATCCACAATAGGTAGAAACATTTTAGAGGAGAAAATAATGAAAAATATCTCAAAATATAAATAAGAATCCATTTTAAAAAAAGATCAAGATTCAAAATGAATAGAATCATATTGAATAAAACTAATAACAAATTAAATAAAACAGTTTGCCTAATATTAACATTTCAGTTTTTATAATTGAAAAATATTTTATATATCCTAATTAAAAGCTGAAGAAAAAATTAAAAATCATGTACGATACAGCTGCTTTCATTTACAAAGCAACTGCATCAATGCATGTAGTATGTAAAGAATATTGATGAGTATAAAATGATAGCATTTACTTTTTTTGCTCCAATCTGTTATTTTTGCCTAGTTTTATACTTTACAGAAAAATTGCAAAATTTAAATTTATATGGTGTATGCTATAAAAAGTAACTTCTTAGTTGAGTGAAAAATATATGTATTATTTTTGAAATGTAGAATAATTAAATTACAGTCAAGGTCAATTCAGCCAGCACAAAAAGGCACTTCTGAAAATATACCTAAATTAAATAAGTGTGCGCTACTTATCTTTGTCACATATAACTTAGGGTACAAGCTCAGGAAGAATAAATATGACACTAATGCTTCATACTCTACAATACAAAATGTCTGATATAAAACATCAGCAAATATGTTGAACTTCCAAGTTCAATATTTTGAATGAACTAAGAGTTCCAATGCACTGAACTAAACAGTACTTGTAATAATTTTCTCAATACATTTCATCATTCCCTTTTTACCATTTGCAATTTAAAAAATGGGAATATAATGCTAGCTTTTTTTTTATAAATTATTTATTTGAAATTTTACTTATCAAAAATACATGCACTAAATATTAACATGAATTGTTCCTTGTATGTGAAAAATTAACAGTACATAAAATTGTGATATTTCTCAATGAATTATGTGATTTTGCAACTGAAACCAATACAGTAAAAAATTTAATTTCAGTTTTTAGAAGCATTGCAGTTTTCCTAAAGCTAGTTCTATGATTTTTTAAATACAAAATTTGCATTTTAAAAGTAAGTAGTGTATACAATAGGACAGAAAACAAAACAAAACAAAAAAAAAAAAAAAAAAAAAAAAAAAAAGCTTACATTGTATTATACAGAGGATTGGGATGCCTCTGCCGAATTAATTTACTTAACGGGTGAGTGCTCCCTTGTTGTTTTCGCATTTTTCTAGGTAATCCTATAGGTGGTGGAGGTGGAGGAGGGGGAATTTCAGTAACACAAACAGATTTACTTTTGGCTGAAGATTGCAAGAGATCAGATGTTGCTTTAAATTCAACAGTTCGTTCATACAGATTTTTACTGTCAGTATTGTACACAGTCCTAGAATTTGGTTTAATGGGAGGTATACTTGACTGTGAACCAAGCTTAATATTGAGCGGAATCCTTTTCTGCATGAAACTAAGATCAAGGCTTGTTTTTCTGTGAGGTGTTGGAGGAGCTTTCTGTTCATCAAGAGTTCCTTTATTCTCAAGAGAGGAAGACAATGAACCAAGTCTGGGCATTTGGTCTGTACAAGGCTCTGAATAAGAACATATTTGTTTTTCTATTGGTAGCAATCCAGTTGTGAGAAGCTTACCTCCATGTTGTTCAAGATCTTCCATTTCAGAAAAACTCATTGAAACATTTTTATCTTTTTTACAGAATTCGGATTTAGCTTCAAGTTCTTTTTTTAGTCTTTTTACAATTCCACTCTCTTTAATATCTTCATGTTTCGATGCATCAGAAACGACTAGATTACTTCCCAATTCAGAGGGCAGCAACTTGCATGCATCTTTTCGTGCCTTACAAAGTTCTATATTACATTTTTCTTTTGAAATTTTGGTTGCTTTATTTTCTAATATTTCTCTTTGCTGCCTGACAAGACCAGGAACTGGAATGTCACTTTGTATTGGAGGAATTTTATTTATAAAAGCTAAATCTCTTGCGTCGATGTCAGGCAAGGAACTGGCACTTCCAAAATCGAAATCAGAATCGGAACTTGAACGAGTGGAAGACACCTTCTTTTCAGGAGGCATGAAGTGAATGGCACTAAGAATTTCTTGTGTTCCACAGATTACTCTATTTACAGCTTCAACAACTGATGGTGTGCTGACACTGTGCATCATGCTGATGTTATCAGCACACTGCAAAGTGTTGTCTGTGAGTGTTTTAAATGACTGAGGTACTGTGGTTGCCAAAGCAGGTAAAGGATACCACTTACCATAAAATGGAATGATAAGCCTACAATCATTCCGGAGGCTATGAGAACGTCGAATAAGTTTTCCAGCTCCAAGTTCCGCTTCTGGAGGTGTGGACGGTGTAGAACGTGTTTGAAAAGGAAATCCACTATCAAAGGAAGTTGTACGAGTCAAATTTTTCTCTTCTATTTTTTGTTTAGTTCTCCGTACTGTACCAGGTATAAAAGGAATATCTTCTTTATCATAAAAATAATTAGGCTTTGACTGCACATTTAAAAATTCATTATGACTAATGTTACTAACTGATGATAGCTTAACTGGTGGCTTACTATTTGACATCAGACATGCACTATTTTGAAATTTTGCAGAACCTTTAACTGGCAATAAAGGATCAGTGACTTTATTCAGGTCCATCAAATTTATAGATGAAGTTTTGGTATTTCTATCAATGTTAAAATTACAAGGAGATTTTTCAAATGTCTTTTGCTCATTTGGAACAAAAAATCTCATAGTTTGGCAACAATTAGATGAATTCTGTTGAAATTGACTTAACCTTTCATCAAGAGGTCCTCGTGATGGGGGATCTGTATTAGCCTCTAAAGGTTTAAAAGCAGATTGACTAGTTTTAAGCATATTCCCTTCAACAGGATGTAGTCTTTGTGCTAAAGAAGTATCACAAGAAGATTCATCTATTTGTTTCTTATTTACAGAAGAAATATCTGAAGGAAGAATTTTATCTTTAGTATCTGAATTATTTGAAGTTTGAGAAAGTATTTTGTTTTCATTTATACAAGAGGGATCAAGTGAAGTAGTACTTTCCTCAGGCCATAAAGAGGGTTTCACTAAAACTGCATGGTGTTTATAGACTGGAGGTTTAGTTTGTGACATAACTGGTTCAACTATTTCCTCATCACATGTGGGTTTAATAACTAACTCTTCATCCACAGGAGAGGAAGGTTTGGAACCTAACTCAAACTGATTAGCTAGGTTAAAGACAAGTCCAGAACGGTTTTGTGATGTAGGAGATTTTACCTCACTTTTTGTTAATTTATCACTGGTAGAAGACACTTGCAATTCCAGTTCATTTATTCTGTCTTTGATAGAAGACACTCTTGGCAATGGAACATCAATATTTAGAGTTTCACTACTTTTACTAATTTCAGAATTTTTCTTCATTGTTGGAAAAACAAAATCAGATGGGAGGGAGGCATTCAAGTTATCTGCTGAACCAACAGGATATTTGCATCCATATTTACTTCCACTTTGGTTTACAGTTTGAGATTTTTCTACAGTACCTAGATAAAGAGCAGGAACAAACAAATTATAATTCATAATAAATTTTATTAGAAATAAACTAATACAAATGATAATTTAAAATAAATTTACTTTTATATTTTCTCCAAACAGTTGATAGTTTATCACTGATAACTTAATAAAAATTTCAGTATTATTCTTAATTATGTGTTTTACCTAGACATTTTAATCTGTTTTTGAATTAATTTTCAATGACTAAAATAAAAATTACACTATTCATTTAAAAAAGAACTAAGCAAAAGCAGAAGTTTTTATTATATATTTACTAATGGAAACCACCTTATCCATTTATGAGTACCATAAAAATTTGAGCTTGAAATTTCTTAATATTTTCAGCAAGAGAATATTTATATGCTTACAGGCATTTGCTGAAATTTTATTTTGAGGTGGGAAAAGCATATCTGCTACAGCATCACTGGGTGACCATGATTTTGGACGAGATGAAACATTACTTGTAACTCGCAAGTGGTGAAGGGATTCACTTTTTTCAGGCATTTTTTGTTTCTTTTCATCGGACTTTTTCTTTGGTTTCTCAGAAGACTTAAGATTAGTCTCTGATTTTGAGCGCCATAAACTGTTATGGCGCTGCTTGCTAGGGGAAAAAAGAAAAATCAATATGTAAAATAGCACATAACATTTTTAATCAATTTATATTTAAGTACATTTCTGGTAAGATACAAGATCAAATATTTATAAAAATGAAAATCCAACAAAATTTAAGTGTATGAAGTTTTATTATTAAACATTTGTAATCACCGAATCGAATTGTAAGCATTGTAAAGAAAGAATTTATTAATTAACTGGCTTAAGATTTTTTAACTTCGTTTCCCAAATGAATTCATGATTTTTGAATTACTTTTGGTACCCACACAAGATCATGCTCCGTATGTGGTGGTCTAGTTGCCAAGTGATGCACTATGAGCTTCTACTAGAGGGCCACACCATTACGGCAGGCCTGTACTAGCAGCAGTTGGAACATGTACGTTGGGTACTGATGCATAAAGAGCCAGCATTGGTCAATTTTATGGGTATACTTCTCCACCATGACAATGCAAGGCCTCAGGAGGCCAGGGACACCATCCAGCAACTGGGCTGGGAGACACTACCCCATCCACCATACTCCCCAGACCTCGTGCCAACAGACTACCACCTTTTCCATTTCCTGGACAACCATCTTCGTGGGAAATCTTTCAACAACCAGCCAGACCTCAAAAAGGCCCTCATGGACTTCTTTGCATTCAAGACTCCTGAGTTTTACTGCAATGGCATCACACAGCTAGCCACTCGTTGGCAAAAGGCATTGGATGCTGATAGTGATTACTTCGAAGATTAGCAAAGATTTTAATTTGTTTTATGACTTTTTCTTTCTGACAGTCCAAAATGGCAAGAACTTTTTCGGTTATTTTGTACATTTTTAGGCTTTAAAAAAAGTGAAATAATGAAAAAAATATTGAGATATTTTCAAAAGTTCACCGGAAGTTATGTTAAAAATTTCATTTAAAATATTTTTTTTTCACTCTTATCTGATGATAAAAGCAGCAAAATTTTCAAATGTTTAGTTTCTTTATTAAACAAATATATCTCCTGAAAATCATTTCAACATTAAATTAAAAAAAATCTAAATTGAATTTTGATAAAACTGTTTCTCACCATATTGTCATTCACAAATAGCATGTGCACAAAATTTAAGTTCAATAGCTTATTAAGAAATAGTTTTAAAATCGAGGAAAAACTTTTGACCATGGCAATAAACACCATAAAAGCTTATCAAAAGAATCTATGATCTGCAAATGTCGTGGATTTAAAGCAGGGGTCGGCAATGCGACACCCGCCGTCTCGTTCCAATGTTCCTGCACTAAATTATTCTGCTTTTTTGCAGTTTTTGGTTTATGTTTATATAATACATATTAAAATTATATATTTTTACATCTAAGTATCAATCGCCACTTTATTGCATCTCCACTGCTTGAATTGTTTCCTTGTTGAGTATGGTGCCGTTGATGCATTTAACTCTTTCGCATCGAGAGAAGGCCAAATCTGGTTTCTTGAAACATCGAAAACGCCCGTGTACACGAGGTTTTCCTGAAATGGTTTTCCTCCCCTCCTGTCTAGTAGGCTGCTACAGCGTTAACAATGACCTACTTAAGTGAATTGATTACTATCTCTTGAAGGGCTTTTCGGTCGTTTCACCCATTGTGTGCAGTTTTCCCTTAGGACAGGATTGCAAATGGGAGCATCAGTAGCTTTCTATATTTCTCCTCAATATTTTTAATGATTTGAGCACTTTATATTGCTTAAAATACCGGTTTTAAGATGCGATAGTGTAGATTTAGAGGAAACAATTATGTATATTTATGGGGTCAGTAAGATTTTTCATTGTATAAATTAAAGCGCAGTGATTCTTATAATAAACAAAAATACGTAAAGGCAGTGTGTGTACATTGATTTAATTTATTTTATTTAATAATGTTTTCATTGATTCTTATATAAAAGAACTTACGAATAATTTTTATAAATAGAAAAGTCTGGTACCTTTTTATCTATTGTCACTGCAGGAAGAAAAGAAATATTTAATAGTTTATAGCAAATAAATTTAATAGTTTATAGCAATATATTTAATAGTTGCAAATAGTTTAGTTGATGATAAATGGTGGTTTGACAGAGCTTGAATATTACCAGTTACATTTTACAGCCATCCAGCATGAAAATTTTTTCTAATATTTCCGCAGTTTTGTGCTAGTAAATACAAAAACACTTTCATTCAGCAAGTTAATGCTACTGAGTAGAAATTTATTTCAAAATAAGAGCTATAGAAACCCTCTCTCTCTTCTCTTATTACTGAAATCCCTTCATATAATTTGCATCCATTTACAGGATTAGCAATAAGCATTTATTAACATGCCTTTAATAAATTTATACAGATTTCAATCAATTGTTTATGAATTAATATAATCTTAGGAAAGTAAACCTTTACTCTTATATTGAAAAATAATTATTAGCTGTATATATTTGATGGTTTTAAAACTCGTGTTTCAGAAAAAATATATACTTTATCCGGGACATTTTAAATGGTTTTAACATTATAATTTTAGTTATGCAATATCAGAAACACTTATGATTATTAAAAATAAAATAACCCTCATACTTTCTTGAAATTTCCAGTGTAGGATACAAAAAGAGATTAAAGAAAGAACAGTTAAATAATTCATTAAACTTATTTTTCTTCATATGAAGGAATATTTAAATAATGCGCAAAGGTAGAAAAATTCATTTCTTTTTACATTTTATATTATTTTCATATGAAATCATATGATTTCTCTTTAAGTTTAGATAGCAAACAAAAGCTTTCCTTTTACATTACTTGCTGGCCCTGAAAAGGGCCTTTTTTATATAGCAAGAGAAACTGGAATGTCTATTCATCAAAGCAGCCTTTACAAAGGCACATCTTGCAGATTTCGCATTCCCATGTGCTTTGAATAGAATTGTTTGCTGATGTTTTATTTCTTTGCTTTCGACATTTAATGCACGTTCTTTTACGCCCTTCAATTTTTCTTCGTTTATGAAAATGACTAGTAGTGGGTTCAAATGACGCTGAAGTGCGCTTTCTATATGAATACACATTTGCTAATTCTTGTATGAGTTCCAGCTTGAAATCATACAAAGTTTTTGACCGTTTTTGTTGAGGATAATTTGTCGTACGCTGAATTATATAGGCATTATTGATGGCAATATCCAGAAGGAACCAAAATATATACAACCACCATTTGGATGATTTTCTGGCAACTGTATAATATTTACGTCTCTGATCTGCGAAATCTACTCCTCCCATGTGCGTATTATATACTGCGAATGAACGTGGGCAAAGAACTTCAATTTTGTCTGCTCCTTTTCTTCTGTTCACATGACACAGTTCATTTTTTGTATTAGTTGACAGCATAAAAATTTGTTTTTTATCTACCCAAGACGTGCACAACAAATTCAGAAATTTTTCATTTTGAAAAGTCCGACTTTCATTTGGGATTTTCAATTTTAATGTTTTAATTTCAGGTGGCAAGTGCTTTCTGTTCGGCATAACAGTTCCGCAAGAATAAAATTTGTATTTCAATAAATCAACCATCAGCTGAACGCTGGTAAAAAATCGGTCAAAATAGAGTTCATGTCCCTTGCTTGTTAAGGGTTTTATCAAATGTGTAACAACATCGTATCCCAATCCTTTGCCTGACCTCACAATTTTATCTCGTTTTCCAGCATACAATTCAAAATTTACAGTGTAACCCAAATGAGATGTGCATAACATCCAAATTTTAAGCCCGCGCTTATCTGGTTTTAAAGGCATATACTGCACAATTCCTAAACGCCCTTTGAATTTTACCATAGCTTCATCAACCGAAAGATGTTTATACGGCTTAAAACAATCTGAAAACCGCCCTTTTATCTTAGAAATAACAGGCTCTAATTTTTGCAAAAACTGAAAGTTTTCATCATTTCCCTTTACCTCTTTCTCTCTATCAGAGATATGAAAATAATGTTTAATTTTTAAAAATCTCTCTCTGCACATTAATTTCTTTATCACTTCATTGCCGAGTATAGGATTCTGAGACCAATAATCATTTATTCTAGGCAAACGCATAATGCTCATTATGAAAAAAAAAAGTTATAAAAGCCCAAATCTCATTTACGGAGAGTATAGGCTGCCAGCTTTTATCTTCAATACCACGTTTTTTTGCACAAAACTCTGCGTATTTATTTGTATTCTGTCTAATTACTTCGCAGTATTCATCAGGCAGAAGTAATTTTAAATAATCTAAAGCAGATGATTCAGTTGGCAAATCATGAGACGGTCCAGGTGACGAAGAGAAATGTTCAAATTTTATGTCCTCGTTATTTATGTCATTTCTCCAGTCTGATTCGAAGGTATCATATGAAGAGCCCAAATTTTCGTCGTGTTCTAAATTATAATTGCATTCGATTTCATCCTCTCCGTTATCTATCAACATATGTTTTGAATGCACATCATCTTCATTATCTACCAACATATGTTCTGTATGTCCATCATCTTCATCAGATTCAGCGTTATCAGATTCGTCTGTTTCTTCAAATAATATTGCATTTATTTCTTCTTGCGTTAATATCTTACGTCTTCTGATCATTTTGAGATGAAACTACAAAATAAGAGCAAGACGTTTTCACAACGTGAGAAAGAAGTAAAACGAGCGATCTAGACTCGAGTCACCTACCCTGGGAGCGTTGAGGCTAAACAAAGAGGAGCCCACCTGCATTCAAATAAAAGAGCTACTTCAGTCGCTTCAAAAGAAATGATTGACATGTCATTTAACAGTTCGCGAAACCAATGAAGCATATACTCCGGGATGGGAGAAAGCATCAAGTAGAAGACGAACGAGGCGGTCGGGCGACCTGCCGATGCCTGAATGGCCGGGCGTCTTAGGCGTTTTCGATGCGAAAGAGTTGACAGTAACTTCTCTGACACAATTGCTGATCTGTGCAGGCAGAAAGACTTAAATGTGTGCAAAACAAGACATCTCTTTACTTTGTCTGCCTGTGACTTATTTTGATTAATTCATAAACATACTC